AAAAAAGATACTTTAAACAATAGGAAGTGGCGCAGAAAATGGCCACCGTATACTATGTGTCGTTTTAGCCCTGGTCGGTGGGTAGTAGGTTATATAAATATCAAGAATGCAAATTATGCAGTATGTAGATCATATATTGAATTCGCTTTGGCATTTGCCAATCGGAGAGCACAAATTTTGACTATTCCGGATCAGCCTGACATGAATCCCGAAAATACTCAAAAACTAGTGTTTAAATCGAAACTTCTATCTTTACGCACTTAATTTATTTACAAAATTCGAATTCCTTTTTTGGTTTGTGTTACTCGCGCAAATAAGTAAAATCTTTGGGGTAACACTTGTTTCTGCATATCTATTAGAGTTGCAGACATTATTAACATATATTATGACGTATTAGATATGACGTATTAACATTGTATATAAATTTTATATGACGCAAAGGGTGACGTAAAAAATAACTATCTAAATGTTTGCAACTATAATATCGATATAGAAATGTCAAAACAAATAGTAAGTGACGCACTTTATAGTTTAGTCAAACACACTAATTTCATAAATTCGCACTTTATTATCAAAAAAAAAAAAAAAAACCAAAAACCACCTACAACATAAAAATAAAAGTACAGAATATACATGAAACTACAAACTCCTTATACTAATTACACCGATAAATAAAAAAAATCGATAATATATAATATATTATAGTAAATAGATAAGCAATTACGCCAATTTAAAATCAAATTCAATGGGATAATGATCCGAGACACGTTTTGCAGCTTTTTTGACCAAATCTGGATCCTTCTTGACTTTATTTGCCCAACCATCATCGAATCTCCATACGCGGGTATCTCCAATCCAATCATCCTTGTTATCCAACTCAAATACAAATCGGTCATAGGCAGCATCAGTGTCTGCAACGGTAGTATCATCTTTATGACCAATCCCCCAAGTCAGTCCACCTTTTTCTAATAGTTCATCGAGTTCTTTACGTTGTGTTTTATTGAGATAAGAACCCGATGCATTGAAATCACCCATTAAAACTATAGGCTCACTACTTTCAGTATCAACATCTCTTGTTTTTTCATGTGTTGTGTCCTCCTTTTCAACATCAGGTCTAAAACAACTACATAAGGATCTAAAGAAACCCAATAAATTAAAACATGGGCCTTTGTCTGGTTTCTCTTTTCTTTTTAGCCCAGATTGTTGAGGAATACCCCTAGTTTTTGTTTGTCCTAACTTTTTCTTTACCATAGGATATACAGAAGTAATTAATGCTTGGATTTCATCGTACGCGTGTTCTGGCTGAGTATGGCAGCCAACAAGATTAATCCTCACATTAGAATGTTTCAGATGTTTAAATCGAACGACAAAAGGATCTCGAATAAATTTATCACCCAATTTTGTATCATCATCAATTACATAGTTATCAATCACTTCCCAATCTTTTTCTTTATATAAATAAAGATATCTTTCTTGATAAGAATTTCTACCTATGGGTTTAGACATAACATAAGAATAAGGTGTGGATGATGTCGATATCGATTTAACAAGAGCTTCAATCATTTCTTCTTTGCCTTCTGGCACGTGAACCTCTTGGCAAAGGATAATATCATAACGTTTAAGAATATCAACAACAATTCTCATTACAGCATCATTGGCAATTTTTTTGGTACCAAACGCTTGGATATTCATCGATCCAATTATTGCATTTTTCTTATTACCCACGTTTTTATTTAAGGAAGATGGTAGTGGTACTTTGTTTAAGATCTCATTTTCAGCTTTGATGTTATTCTCTTTTTCGGCATCGGTAAGATGTTCTTTCTTTTTATTTTTTTTATCTTCGTCGCCTGTCGGCT